CTGAGACACCACTCTGCCATCCTCATCATTTAGATTTAAAAAATAAACCATTTGTACTCAAGGAGGTGAATTTCAGAGGGGACAAGTGAAAAGGAATCATTTGGGTGTTGAAGAATCTGTAAAATTCTTTGATCTTTGATGTTTCTAAAGGAGAATCACTGGCTCTTTCATAATAAAATATGTCTCTGGATGCTGTATACAGAGAGAGGATGAGAGGGTGGGTAATGATTTCAAATTTATTCACTTTGCCTCAGCTTAGAGACACAATTTCATATTGTCCAGATCAAGACACAGTTCAGTATTCATTTTTATTTCTTGAAAATGCAGCCAAAGGTTGTTTGGCTTTATTTACATTTGTTTAAGTTTTCTTCCTTGGGAAAAAATTGTACTGAAAAGAATGGAAAGAAAGTTTTTTTTTCTTGTGATCTTTACATCACCTCACATTTTGATAGTCATTCAGAGTGCCCAGAGATCTGTAAGTGACTCAATAGGAAAAAGGGAGATGACTCTGCCCATTTTTAAGTCATTTTTTTAATTGAAATTATTTCAGTGGAAACAGCTGAATGTGATAGCATCTAAAAAAAATTAAATGGCTCCAAATCAGCAGGGGCTGAAAGCCAACCAGATTCCTGAAGAAAAGGACACTCTGAAGTGTCATGTACAATTCTTTCATGTCTTGAAGACCAAAGAGAGGAATATAGCTGGGATATGTTCAAAACAGTCACCTACCTACAGTTTCAGCAGCTTTGGGCCTTCTAAAATAACTCTGAGTACAAACACCTGACAGTGGGGAAGATAGGAGAGGGACAAAATAACTTCAAATATTCAAATCTTTCTGTTAGAACATTTTGTTGAAATTTTACTCTTGAGCCACTGGGCATCAATTCAGTATAAAGCATGTTTGCTTCACTGTCACTTTCTCTAAAAATGCTCCAGTATTTAGCAGATGGAAACTGAGTGGCTGTGGCAACTTGAAATTACCTCCATGCTCCATTAATGCATTTTCTTACACAGGGAGGGAAGGGAGGTGTGGAGCAGATGTAGACATTTATGGTTTTAAAAGTCCAAACTCTCAAGAACAGCTGTTTGGAAAGTTATGGCAGGAAGAATGTATATTACTTGTGGCTAGAATTTAGGAAAATAAGTATTGTTTAAATGCTCAGAGTTGTCGTGCATATTTATTTTTGCATTAATTCCTTTTTCGTTTTGCATTGAAAATTTGAGAAAAGTTAATCTTCTGTACTGGAAAACAATTCAAAAATTGTTTAGGGCAAAGCTATTTTCTGAATTCGCAAGGAGCATGAGAAGTATTTGAATTTGGATTTGCAACCAATGCTCACCACTTTACATTTATAGTGTCAAAAGACCTTAATTGAATTTTCCTTCTCTACCCATCATCCTTGCCTTCATCATGATAACCTGATCTTCTCATCTTTGTCTCTCGATTTCCACAGCTGCATCTTCCTGGTTCTGCCGTTTCAGTCACTCCAGGTCATTTTGTGTTTTTTAGTTCTTGGATTTTGCATTGTTAGGAGTTCTCTCACCTTACTGGGCTTTCGTTTTCCAGACCATTGAGACAGAAAATAACAAGAGTCACTGGCCGTGCTCTCCTGCATGGTCTGTGACTCCAGGCTGGGTGTCTGTGTGCTCAGCAGGGCAGTCACAGCCTCTGTCTGTCCCCAGGAAGGACTACATGGACACAAGCACATGGCTGAACCCAGGAGCACTGCAAGCACTGAAACTTGCTGATCCATACTGACAATGGCCATTAAATCACAGAAAACTTAATGTTGGGAGGAACCCCTGTAGTCACCTTGCCCAGCCTCTGCTCAGCTTACAGGTGTGGTTTTGTCTGAAGCTAATGCACATTTTCCAGTCTCTGGGCATGACTTGTGGACCAGAAACTGGTTCCAGAAAGGGTTTTGCATGTGGTCACCCTGCTCTGCAGGCTAAGGTAAATTAGCTGTGAACATGGGCTCCTTCATGCCAGAGGAACTCCAAGTTAAGGGTTTGTGTCAGGCCCAGGTAAGTGATCAGTATGAAAGTAACCTCTGTTAACTCTGTTGACACTCTCTGCTCTCTGTCTGTGAAAATAAGTTATTTAATATCGGTGCTGGCTTTGCAGTACTGCATCACCAGGCACCTGACACCTTCCACGTTGCTTAAAGATGAAATCTCTGTGAAACACTGGGATGATTCCTGAGTTAAAAATCAAACTCCCTCATATGGGTTTAGACTATCCAATACATTGCCTTCCTCACAGGAGAACAGAAAGCAGACTGATTTCACCTCAGGAACACATCAGTGCTCCCTGTGCCTGTGTTAAACCAATGCCCAGATTTGGGGTGGGGAGTGGATTCCTCTGCTCCCTAGGCAAGGACTGCCAGGGTTTTGGGTGGTGTCCTCCCAATGCAGGCTGTGGTCACCCAAATCACCAGGCTGATTTAAGCCCTGAGCCACAATTTCTCTGATCCATCTTAACAGCATCAATCTTTGTGGCATGGCTAATCTTTTAACTGGCTTTAGGTGGTTAACAAGTGATTGTATCTGTGCATGCAAAGCCAACAGGCAAACCACAATGTGGCCAGGATTCAGCACACAGGTTGGTCTGTGTATTCCTCTAGGCTGGTCTGGGTATTCTTCTTTTTCTGCTCCCCAGACACCCTAACTCTCTGTTGTTAGCAGCAGAAATTAAATTATAAACTCTTAAGGGCAGCTGCTACATCTTTCCTTATTCTTAGAAATTCTGTATTTATATTTAACCCTCCATATGATGCTTTTAATAGCAAAGAGCCTAACTTTGCCTATTGAAAAATTCTTGTGATTTGTTTTTTGTTGTTTTTCCAGTGAAAATCTTTCCTTTTCAGTAGTGGCAATGTTTCCATTAATACATTTTTCCTTGAGAATGTTTCTGGGGGAGGAAGTGGAATTTCTCATGAAGAATATTTTCAGTTGGAAAAGTCTGAATAGCTGCAATTGATAAAAAATTTAGACACAAGTGAGAACGGGAATGAAGAGTGATTAAGTAGAAACTTGCATCTCCTTGGTCTTCTGCTGCAAAATCCAAAATCTGAACAATTCTGAGGTTGGGAAAATAAATTCAGGAATTCATTTCATGCAGCAAACTGATACCTTTCTCCAGCAGTGATGCTATTAGCAATTGCCACTATGAGAAGAAAGTGTATTGGCATTTTTTTCTGTAGTGTTTATCATGATAATTTCTAGAAATGGGTCTAGGTAGCAAAACATGCCTGGATAATGCCAGGTTAATTACAGTATTCCTCGGTGTTGTACCATGTAGGAACACCCAGCTGGCTCTCAATAAGCCTGTAAAAGATTAAAAACACATAAGGCACTAAGATGCTTCCTTATGACTGCTTTGAATAGAGAGAATCATTTGGGTTGAATTTGGGTGTCACTGCATGAAATTGCATAATAGAGTGCACAAACAAACCCTGGGAGTTTTGGTGGCCTAGTTAGGGTGGCACAGTGATACCAGCAGAGTTATGCAACCACAGGAGTGCAGAAAGCTCCTGCAGTGCCACTGCTCCCAGAACAGGATGCTCCTCCTTATGTATAACCTGCCCTCCTAGAAGCACATTAAGCGAAATAAGCCATCAGTGCATCCTCGTGCAGGATGGGAGTTGAAGTGATGCTGCCTGGTTTTAGGAGATTTCCATCCTAGACATGAATGGTGAGGCAGATCTGAACCTGCTGGCTCCAAAACGGATATCCTTGGATTCGTGTCCTTTCCATCAGCATGAGCACCTGTACCCCTCTGCCAGGCAATTTCCTTTTCTGAAAACTCTTTTTGGTAAAGTGGCAGCTCTTTTGCACTTGTACCTTTTGACCTTACAATATCCACAGTATTCCTTCCCACAAAGCATTCAACACACTGGGCATAATGAATTTATCCCATCTACTCTAAATAAAATTAGCTGCATTGTCAATGTATTTTTCCTTTTTTCCTGCAGTCAAGCAATTATTATGAGATTGAAAATGGTTATTTATTTCTAAAAGGACTGTCCTTGAAATTGCTTCAAGAATCCATTTCTGTGACTTGAATTTATCTTAAATAAACTGGGAACTGTCAACCAAAGTGATCAAATCTATCACTTACAGTGTTTTTTCCATTCTGTTAAAAAATAATGAATTACTGTTTGTCTTTCATAGTCCTGGCTAGGTTGTCATTTGCTGATGACTGTTTTATTTATTTAAAATCTATCAATTCTTTCACCTGTTTGCATTAGTTCTCTTATTTCTGACATTTCAGACATCTGGCTATATGTGTGGTAGCATTTGTAGTTAAGATTTTCTAACATAATTTTGTTCCACAGGTTTTACTGAGCTTTGAAATCAACTGCAGTGAAACAGGAATCCAGTGGGCACTGAGTGGTATTCTCCACAGTGAGTGACTGCAGGTCCAATATGTTCTTTGGGTCATAAATTCAGCTCAATCCTACACATTTTTTTATAAAGAATAAACACTACTGGTACTGGCAGAAATCCTTATCCCATTGAAATGAATGGGAATTCAGAGAGAAAGGTTCATTAATCCTTTGGGGGGCTTTAAAACACCCAAGGCTAATCTGTATGTGTATCTCTCTTTGGTAGATTAGCTTTGCTTTTTCAGAAGTCTCTACCTTGACAGTGTTTTGTAAAATAGTTTCATTGTACTAAGTCACAGCACAGAATTTATAGCATATATAGAATGCAAAAAGTATTTATGCAGAAAATGTACAGCTGTAGAGAATGCCTTAAATTTTACAAACTATCTGCTGGTACACAAACTAGACGAGGAGATACTGGGCTTTGGAGCTGGGACACCCCACAGTGAATAATGCTGTATGCTCAGACTATATTAAAAATACCTATAATAAATAAAATATTTGAAACAAACAAACAAATAAAGAAATTTTAAACCCCAACCTGTGAGACAGAACTGGGATTCAAATCTCTTCCAGATAAAAACTCAGAATCGTGCTAGCTTGGTTATAACATTTCCTGAGTTTTCGCTACTTGCTGGTACAGTTGTGCTTGGACTTTCCTTCCTAACCAGTGTCCTGGGCTTCCATCAGGCAGCTGGAGAAAAATGCCAATCCAGACTTTGCTAGGCAGAGAAGGCCATGAACTAGCTTTGGGATCTGGTCCAAATCTCACATACATCTCCCATGTAGTCCAAAAGAGAGATAGTTCAAGGTTGACTTGAACAGCCTTTTCTTACTCTTGGTCTAACAGCTTCATAGTCATCTTGCTCTAATTACAAGGCATTTAATTACCTCCTTAGATTCTGCCTCAGTTTAACATGTTATATATCTACAAAGGACCATCTCATAAGGTGTCACACAGTGAGAAGATTTCAGTTATTTATTTTCTCCTTTTTCTGCTATTTTCCATCTCTCAAATTGAAGGCTTTTACTTACTTTGATTTGCCTCTGAGTCCAGCTCAGTCCAATAGGACATGATATTGAAAGATTGTTTTATGGCCAAATGAAGGTCTCTTATCCCTCAAACTGATGCAGGAAAATTAATTTTTCTTTGGGTGGTTGATGTGATACACGAGTTGCTGTGCCTGTATTCACAGGGACACAGATGGGCTTAGGCAGTCTGACACACCTCAGCACTCCATTTCCCAAACAAAAGCCTGGTCACACCACACTATTGATCCTTCTGGTCCACAGGCTTGTTTCCTATGGAAAATAGACATAGAGAATGCAGGAGGATGTGCCAGGGTATTAGTCCAACAGGCAGTCCAATGGCACCCAGAACATGCATCCAGGATAAAAGCCAGTAGGGACAGTTCTGGAAATTCAAATCTAGTGCTTATCCTTTCTACCAGGATCCTTGCACCCCTCTTGGCACAATTACTTGTTAAGATTCTGCTCTAGATCTTTAGGATAATGGATTAACAGCTGACAAACTGCTGCAGAAGTAGCTCTGTCCTTCTGAGAGATTTATGTGAATTCCTCCAAATCTGGTATGAGCAGCTGAAAAACAAACCTTCTGCTTATGTGCTCTGAAACAGAGAAGTTGTAAGTTTAAGATTTCAAGACACCGAAGTGACTGGGTTTAGAAAACCTTGCTGAGAAAATTTATAGACATGCTATGGATTTTTATCCATACACAGGCATTAACATGTATGCTCAATTCCACAGCTTTATTCTTGATGGAGTCTCTGCTCACCTGGGATATGTTGCTGGCTGCACTTATTTTGTAAGTTATACTTAAAACTAAGCATAAGAGACAAACCATGAGAGAATAGGAAAAGACAAGGGTGGATTTCTATGTTCATTCAGCCAATCAGCTTTTTAAGAAAATATCTTTAATACATGACAAAAATACAGTTTGTTAGTTTTCCCCACAGATTACTCAGAGCACATGGGCTTTAATCTGATTTGACAGCCTTGTGATATTTTCTGCCATTCTTGTTCTTAGCAAAGTGCTCTAAAAATGCATCCATAATTTATTTATGGGACCTTCTTTAACCCTTGAGTAACAAGAATGTACACCATACCTTTCATCCTTGAACTGTCAGTGCTGATTGTGGAAAGTGCCATCAGACACCTCTGAGGTGAAGCAGCTGAGCAATACTCTTTCTAAAACAATAAATAGTGAAGAAGGCATTGTTTTCTTGAAAGAATGCTGAAGAAGAAATATCAGAACCTTCTACCACATTATCTCTCCACAGAAAAATTCACTAGCGTCATGAAGACACACAGCTATTAATAATTTTGTGAGATACTTTAATTTCTAACAAAGGAAAATCCCAGGACAATCTATTTTTATCTGTACCAAGAGCTATTTTTTCCCACTAAAAACACACTGAACTCCTTTTAACATGAATATGCCATTACAAATTCAATTCAGAAAGCTCTTCATAATGGGCATACTTCATATCTCTTGCAGAGCTCTCAACTTCTCTGGTACTTTATTTGCCTCCCACTATATTTAGATTTGTTGTAATTATTTAATATCAAGTCTTCCCTTTCTGTGATGCCAGAAGTGTCTGTTTGGTGTAAGTAGTTTTATTACTGAACCAGATGAACAGGTAATATAAAAAGTAGCCCCAACTTTGATGCCTTTATTCTGGATTTGGCCTCTCCATCTTTTATATAATGATAGGGTAATTTCCCTTTCCTTTGGGCTGATAAATATTAACAGATGAGCACTGTGTCCTACATTCCTGTTTGTGCTACATTCCTACCCCAGTGTAGGGTGGAGTTTTAATGCAAGCTTAGATTTCATAGACTCACAGAACTGTTGAGGTTTGAAGAGATCTTTGTAAATTATGTAATCCAACCTCCTCCTTCAAGTTCAGTTAGATCAGGTTGCTCAGGGCTATTTCCAATCAAGCTGTGAATACATCCAAAGGTGCAGACCCCATAGCTCCCCTGAACCCTCTTCTAGAGTTTGAATTGAACACTCACTGCTTTACTCTGGGTATTTTTTACCTACTATCTAGTCAGAATTTCCCCTATTGCAGTCTGTGTTCATTGCCTTCTGCCCCCTTGCTGTGCACCCCCAAGAGGAAACTCACTCTATCCTATTTTGGATACTGGGAAATGTGTCCTTCTGGCCACTTGGAAATGTCTGGAGTAATTCACATCTCTGGATGTTCTCATGCGTGGTTGATAATCACTGATCAACCCTGCAAGTGAGGAGATGGTTGTGTCACATTGGCTCTGGTCTGGTTTGCAGTGTCTTTCACAAAAGTGATGTTAGCCTGCAGGCATTTCCATCCTGTGCCAAGTGATGATGGCTCCCGTGAGGAAGCAAAGAGCCCAAAGTAAAGATACAGCCTGCTCGAAGCTTCCTGTATGCTGTGCAAGCACAGGTGCTTGGGACACTCACTCTGCAGGTTTTGGGAAATCTCCAACCCCCAACTGCATGGGAGACATTCTCAGAGGTCAGCTCAATCTATTAAGCAAGGGTTGTGCAGACTATACGGTTTTAAATTTAAATAATGTAGCAAAGAGTTTGGTCCCAAGAAATATATCCACTTGCCTTCATTTAAGCAACACACTTGCCTTATTTTTTCCACAGCTGGCACATTTTAAACTCATGGCAGGCAAGCAGCAGAACATCCAACCCCATAAAAGAGGTGCTTCTGGAAACCCCGGTCCTGGAAAACATGAGGCGGGTAGTAGTGAGCATGAATGTGTAAAGGGGAAAGCAAAAGCACACTGAAACAACCTGATATCCCTCCATGCTGTAAAAATTCATGCAGTGGGTTGAAAATGGACTGGCTGACCTGCTGGACTCAAGGGGCTGCATCAGTGGTCTGAAGTTCATCTGGAAACCAGCTGAACACACACCCCAGGAGATGCTTCTGGGGCCAGTAGGGTTTCACATCTCCATCAATGACCTGGACAAATGGCCAGAGTACACACTCTGCAAGTTTGCAGATGGTGCCAAACTGGGAGCAGTGGCCAATGCACTGGATGGTTGTGCTGCCTGTCAGAGGGACCTGGATGGGCTGGAGAAATGGACGGACAGAAACCTCCTGAGGACCAACAAAGGCAAATGCCAAGTGCAGCCCCTGGGGAGGCACAGGCTGGGGGTGATCAGCTGAAAACAGCATTGTGGAAAAGGACCTGAGGTTTCTGGTGAGCAAGTTGAAGATGAGCCAGCCATGTGCTCTGGCCACAAAGATCACCAGCATTCTGGATTGCACTAGGAAGAGCATTACCAGCCTGTCAAGGGAGGTAATCCTTTCCCAATTTCCCAAATGTCTCACATTCATGTATAGGTGAAAGATTATCCTCGTGAATTCTTTTTCTCCTTTTTTTATTCTACAGCATATTTTTGTGCCACTGTGTGATGAAAACCAGTGCTGTACCCATTGTAAAATGTGCACTTCAAATTACAATATAATTTTTAAACCACTGTTACTTTTTCTATTTTACTAATGCATAACTGTCATCTAGTAGTATTGACTAGTTTTCTAGATTACCTGGAGCCAAAATAGGATGATGTCTCCTCTGATATTAAGTAATTATCCTGATTTTGTAATAGATCTTGAGCAACCCTATCCTTAAGCAGGAGAAGAAATTATTATCTTGGTACTCTATCAGATACAGAAATACCTGGGTGAGTAAATCTTAAGAGCTTTCATTATTTCCCTTAGCACACTGTCCACATCCATGAACCTCTCTGTTCCTTCCTTATATGGGAACTTTGTAAAATAAAAATGTAAAGTCTTATATTTGGGTGTTCCCACCTCTGTCTCCATCTCCCTGTCTTCTGACTATGCAGCAGGCTTAGAATTTCCCTATCTATCCCTACTGGAGGCAGTATCTTTGGGAGACCCCCACGTGAGGGGTGAGTCTGGGTATTTGCACAGACAGATTCATTTTCAGGGCCAGGCTGGCCAGCCATGAGTCAGCTCCTTTCCACAAGCTCTGTAGACAGGGGAGCACAATAAATTATTCACAAATCCCAACTGGCACCACAGTGCAAGTCTGAAGGTGGCACTTGGACCTGTCCACGGCTGGTGCACACCTCAGAATCAGTGCTCCTGCCAAGCTGCTCACTCCAGCCTCTGTAGTTAAGCCAGTCTCAGGTCTTCAACAGCAGCCACAGCTGTTTTGGAGATTTGAAAGGAGGAGCCAGGAATTCCCCATCACAGCCTGGATGCCAACTCCTACATAGCCCTGGGCAAGTCATTTAACTCCTCTGACTCAATTTCCCCATCTGCTAAATGGGGATAATAACAGAGGAGTATTGTAAGGATTAATTAATTAGCTAATGTTTGTAAAGTGCTTTGAAGATCAAAGCACAAAGTACTATTGTTGTTATCAAGGGTGTTGAATTAACTTTCCTCATTTTGGCACACAAACCCCAGCACTTGGTCCGTTGCCTCAGGGCATGTGCTGGCATTAAGAACATGATGATCATCATCTAGTCATGAGCAGAGCTATCAGAGCACTCTTGGAGGTGCTGGTAGTCACCAAAGCCCAGGCTGCCCAGACAGATATGCCATGCCCCCATGCAGCACTTGGATAGGTCTTCATCTCCAGGTCTTCACTGGTTCAGGATAAGCATCAGCAAGGGCTCCTCACTGCTCCTTCTGGGCACAGAAATGAGGAGTAAGGACTTTTCTCACAGCCCATCAGGTGTTCTGGGCTCTCCAGTCTTTCCACACCTCCCTGGTTATTCTTTGAGCATATTCCTAAGAGTCAGATTTGTGGGTCAAACTCTCTCATTCAGCTCCATTTCCTTTGAGCTGGTTGGCATTCACACAAGTGGAGCACATCCTACTTTCATGGTATTAGGGTGAGATATCTGTGATTAGCATGATACAGTTGGTGTTACATGTGCACACACACATCCTCCACCTGTCACAAAGCAGGTGCATGCCCAGGTTCCTGGGCTATCATGGCCCACAGGCTGCCCTGCACAGGGCTCAGACTGAGGCTCATGCAGCCTCTTCCACTGCCAGACCTCTGCACCTGCTGGCACAGGATGTGTCCCCTGGTGATGGGGATAAGGCACCTGAGGTGGGTGTGTTAAACCATTCTGATGCCTTAGGATTTAGCTTTTATATTTTTCAGATCCCATACCGCTTCAGTGTAAAACTCTAAAACTCCATATCCTGCCACCTACTGTTCTCCCATTTTATTCAGCCAAAACAATTCCTCTCTAGGCCTGAAACTCAAGGACACCTTACAGTCTCAGACATCTTTACCAAAAGATGCAAACAACAGTGAATTGGGTGGGGGGGGTGGGGAAATTTGGAATAAATTACTTAATTATCTGAAACTGTAATTGGAGGATTAACCCTTGGTATATAAATGGACGAAACTTAAAACTGTGTGAAAAGCTTCTGACCATTGTCCATCTTGGGTGTAGCCCCTCAGAGGATTTTGGCTGCCCAAGGTTTACCTACGGAAGGCTTTCACTAAATACCCATTTTTATTTACTTAATTTTGTCTAGCCTCCGTTTCAGGTAGCCACTCCAAGGTATCAATTCCCAAGGAAAGTGCACTGCCAGAGCTGCTGAACTCTGAGGGCTGTTCCTCCAAAAGAGGAAAAGAAATTTTTGTTTAGTCTTTGAGGAGCTTGGCTCTCTGCTGTAATCTTTGCAGAGCCCCCAGACTAGACTGAGAGATCGTGATAATTACACAAAGTGAACAGAAGGCAAATGTTGGTTGATAATGGAGAATTATTGTCAAAATGCCATTTTAAGTTGATCATCAACACAACGAGCTACATGATTATTAACAGCTAAGGACTGCAAAATCCACAAATCATCCATTTACTGGAAAACAACCATTGAAATGACTGCAGTGACATTTTAATACCACCTTTTATTACTGCAGAAAAAATTATTCACAGAAAAACCTAATGGCCCTCAGTCAATATAAAGACAGCAATTATCAAGTAGAGCAAATCAAGAAGATTTTTCTTGGATTCTGCTAGGCAAAAATATGCACTATTACTGATAACTTCCATGAAAGTAGAAGTGAAAAATCTGTATCTGTGACCCTGCCTGCATTTGCTCTCTAGTGGACTGTGTTTTGCTCCTTTTCCATAAACTTTACTGAGGGGCTATTTTAAAAATGAGGTCGTTGAAACAAACTGCTATGCTGGTTCTCAGTATAGATGAAAAACAAGGGAGTTCAGGAGGAGATAAAGGTGCTGAGTTCATCAAAGCTTTAATTCAGTTCATGATGTTCTTTATACCAACAAGGCCCACTCAGTCTGGCACAAAATTACATGTGTTTAAAGTTTCTTAAACACACTTGGGTTGCTGGGATCAGTCCTAAAACACTGTAAAACAACTGAATTGATATCTTTACACCTTTTAATGTTTATAAAGACTGTATTATAAAAATAAAAATCGGAAGATTGTTATTAGATCGAATTACAACCTGATTATATGCTGATAGAGAACTGCAATAAATGTCTTACCTTTAATTTGAGGGGTTTTCAACTAATGAAAAAGGGTAAAATTTTGCTCCATCTGTCTACCAAACACAGGCTGAAATAATTTATCAATATTAATTTCTGCATTTGAAAAATGCCGTGAAACATCTCTGTTTAGAGAGTGAATATTTTTTGAAGTATTTGAATACCAAAGTTTTAAGCTTTGGTACTTAATTCCAGGAAAGTCCTCCACACAAATGCAGAGCACTTAGATGAAAGTTTCCTCAGCTCAGCAACTTGGTAGGTGCTTCTCCAGGGTCATCATAAGGGTGGTTATGTACTTTTTTCTCTAAAGTGGTCCTAAAACAAAATACAGGATCTAAGAATGCCTATATGAATTTCTTGCAGGAAGTCTGAGATATTGGGCATCTAGTGTTGGAAATTGTAGTAGGAAATACTGCTCCACAGGATCTGTCATAAAAGAGTGAGCCACATCACAGCATCCCCATCAAAGCCTGGACTTGTGTCTCCTGGTGTTCTTATAGAGTCCTGGGGAAAAGGATCCAGCTCCTTACATTGAAGCAATGCAATAATTCCTTACCGCAGAAACATAGAGCCACAACATCATGAAATCATTGAAAAGCTTGGGTTGGAAGGGACCTTGAAGACAGCTCTAAAGGCACACATTAATTGGATATCTGCGATTTCAGAATGTGCAAGGGTTTATGTGAACCATCTGCACAAGGGTAACCTTCATCCCATAGCAAGTAACAAAAGAAATACTTAGGCTGGCAGCAAGATTTGGGGGGGTTGCCCTTCTTCTTGCAGAAAAGTTAGCATAATTCATTTTCTCTTGTAGTTTCCTAAGTAACCCCACAGCAGGCTGTGTGTAAAGACACCTGTCAAAACATCCATATGTGCCTCAGAGAAAGGTACAGTCTGTGGCCCCAGAGAGTTCAGGGTGACACAGAGTCATAAAAAAGCCAAGGTAAAGTCTTCTGTCAAAATAGAATTGAACTGTGTGAGGATGTACTTTTGTCTGAATAGGGAATATGTGCAGGGATTATGGGCATATAGCTGATGTGCACCTAGAGGAGGAATGGGTGCGTTGTATTCATATTAATTATTTCTTTTTACTGTGCTAGGACCAGAAAGTTGTTTCTGCTTAGCAGCCCCTGGTGCTGAGTTCTGTCTAAACACAGGAGCAGGCAGTCCTTGTCCCAGAGATTATACTATCTAATTATAGTCAATATTTCTGCTGTCCCTGAGGGTTCATAGTTTCAGAGTTCAGACCCCTAAAACCTTGAGGTTGGCATTAAAATAATGAAACTAGAAAAAAGCGCACGATAATAACTGAGTTTATTTTTATTTGCCTTCTGGTATCTAAGCCTTTGCAATTCACTTGAGTCATGTTTTCTCCACAGCCCTGATGAAAGAAAATGTAGGTCTTGCCTACATGGGATTTTTTTTTTTTTTTGGTCATAATCTAATAAGTAAATTTAAAAATATATTGTTAGATCAGTGTAAATCTTTCTTCCAGCTGGTCACTCACACTGGGACCTAGCTTAGGCAAAGTTATAATTTATCTCAACTCCAAAAAGTAGCCCAAACACCCTCTTGTAATGGAGTCACTGTCCCAGGACAGTTGTACCAGTACAATTCTATATTTGCCTACTGACATGAAATACTGCTGGGAGGATCTTTTGGCAAAACAAGGTGCTACTTAAACACCCCCAAAACCTCACATGCCAAGAAACACACATGACTCCAAGGGCTAATGCTAAATATTGAAGCAAAGTTTTGATGCAAGCCTCGGGAGAGAAAGAAATCTCAGATGTTGGCAGTGCTGTGCTGAAGGCAGAAAATGAGTAGGAAGGAGGACAGTGTGAACTGCGATTAAATCCAGCTGGGACAGAAGCCAAACTGTTCTGGGTCACTCACACTTAGCCTATTTATAATTTGAGTACAATACAGATCATGGATGATATTAAAATAAATAGCATGTGCCTTAATGACCTCCTCTTCTTGTCCCTGTCATGTGAAGAATTCTCTAATTCTCTGCCTACTGACAACCTGGTGTTAAATTGCTTTTACACCCTTCTATGCACCCTGCCCTTAACAGCAACTTTGTCGAGCACAGTGATATACAAATTTAAATTTTTACACTTTCTGCCCAGGTCTGTGTCAATATATTTAATTCTGGCATTGGATAGAAGTTAAATTATCCTCAGCTGGAAAAATGAAATATTGATATGAGCTGACAAAGATTTCAAAGCCACACATTTCTCGTTGAGCTCTAAATCAGAATAATTTTTAATTCATCAGATTTACATTTGGTTTTAAGACCATGAAAGTTCTTTCCATTCATGACACCCCATTCTTCAGTTGCAACTATGTATAAAAGCTGGTTGTTTTTTCTCTTTAGTCCTGTGCCAGTATAACCCAATTCACTGCAGTGGGATGAACCTGAAGGCAAACCCTGGAAAAGCAAGGTCAGTGTATTTCAGAGACAAAGTCTGACCATGGACCAAGAGATCACCAAAGATTTGCTGCTTTTAACCCAACACAAAGAACCCACCTTTCTTTATCACCTTGTGCAGTTGTGGACAGGTTTGGGTTTTTTCTGAACTTGCTCACATTATGTTCTTCTGTCCTCAGTGTGGATGCAGTACTTTTCAGGAATTTAGCCTCCAGTAACAGTGATTCTAGCCCTGGGAAGGTAACACACCCCATAAGACTGACTAAAAAAGAGTAAAGCTTTTCAGCAAACCCCAAGGTCATTTCTCTAATGAGCCAGATATTGTTAGATAGATGGGTAAACAGGAGATATTTATAGTTCTATTTTCTGTCAGGTTTCTTGTCTAAACCTCACATCTCCAGGAACTACTTGAATGAGGCCAGAAATACTGCAAACAGATCTTTAATATTTCTTTTGATGACAAATAAAGCAAGTGGAAGCTTGAGACATTTTGGATATTGCTTTCAGGCATGGGTCTTAAAGTAACAGAATATCAGAAGAAGATGAAGTGAAGGCTAAAATCCTCAGGTGTCCTCACCTTGTAATCAAAGTCTGTTCTACATGTTGCTGCATATGAGAATTTCTTCCTTCACTCACCTGCCTGTATTATTTTGTCTTCCTGCTTTTATGTGGGTTTTTGATTGGTTTCTTTAATTTATTTATTTATTTATTTATTTATTTATCCATTTAATTAGACTTCTTTTTCTGATGGGTAAATTAGCTTCTTACAAATATTTCAAAATAAAATTATGTTTACCTGAGAAGAATATTTGGAATACTGTGTGAAGAATTGATGCTCATGTTAAGAAGTATGCTAAAAATGTAAAAGTTTGGTACCTATTTCATCTCTGTCACCCAGAGATGACAGGTGAGCACATGGATCCCAGCCAGCCCTTGTGAGTGACCTAACACTCTCTATCAATGCCTTCCCTGCAATACTACTCCCACGTAGTGAGGATTTATTAATACTTTATTAACACTTGTACCAATATGCCTTTAGCATATTTTACTGCTGGGAATGAACCCAGGCTGCATTTGGAAACACTGTCAATCGTTAATACAAACATGATAAAAAAGGTAAAAAGCTAGAGCCTACTACTTGTGTTCCGATTTTTTCCCTTTTATTTTTCTGAGAGTCAAGCTGCAGGGTGGCTTAACTTTGTTCGTAATTTGGCTGGGCACGTGAAGAAGTGAAAAATAACAACATTACTTGCCTAATTATAAAAATTTTGCTTTAATTTAGTGTTCTGGTTTCACAAGACCTCAATTGCTATGATTTCACTATAATGGAAGTTGTCAAAGTTGCAACCTCTGGGAAAAAACCCAACAGTGGCAAAACACAGGTAAACTAAAAGAAATATTCGATGAGGTTTGAATTTTTCAGTGTTTCTGTAGGAAATGAAATGGTTTGAAAAGAATAAAGAAAATTGAAAATAGACTTTGTCAAAAGTCAACAACCTGCACTGCACGAGAAGTGACGCGTGGTGTTCCTAGTGGGCTCCCCACACAAGAAGTCAAAGGACCTAATAATTTAATGTCTACAACAAGAAATTTTCAATTACATTAGCTAGAAACCAAAGTCTTGTCGTGACTCCACTGGCAGCCTTGAGGTAAGACTAAGGCTATATTTACAAAAAACAGCAACAATTCTGTCCTTGGTTATGAACCTCAAAATTAGGAGCCAATATTCCACGTTGTCCCAAGTTTTTACCTTGCTGAACTTTGAACTGCTTCATCTCCCTCCCAGAAGTCACACAGAGGATGTATCTATTCTTGGGGGAGCACTGAGGCTCTCAAACTTGGCCTTTAAATGTTTGAGTGTAGCTGTGCAGATATTTTTTTTCCTAGGCTCTCCATACACATACAGAAGGGAAATTCAGCTCATTTGCTTAAGACTAGGCACCCCTCCTGCCTAACACCATTAAACCCACCAGCCTCTGCCAGGGAGTGTGCCACAGCAGGGATGTGGAGAAGCACCTGTGGATCTCAGGTGGGCTGTTGGAGGAGCAGCTGCCCCTTCAAGACACAGCAAAGCTGGAGTGCTCACACTGAGAGTGGCACCACTCTCAGGCTCTGTGCTGGACCCTGCATTCAAGGTTTGTAAATCCTCTTCACTGTTTTATTAAGGTTCTCTCCTGTTTAGTGCTGCAGAGATAAAGGACATTAAATCAGTGCACGTGTTACTATTAAATAAATAAACAAAAAGGCCAGATTATGCTTCCTCATGTATCAGAACATGATTTCAGCATCAGAAGCTCTTATCTTTTATCTGAATTATTCTTTCAGGAAGACGGAGAGGTCCTTAACTCAAACAGTCATTATTACATGCTTCAAATATTCTCATGCCTGCCTGCTTTGTGTACCTGAAGAGAACACTCTAATGCTAGATTGGTATCAAGATTTCCCATAAGATCTGCAAACTTCTGTGAAAAAACAGGGCAGCGGCCAAGGGACTTAATGAGAGACGCTAAACTCATTCTGTGCTCAGAGAAGGGGAATCTGAGAGGATGTGCACATTACCAAATAATTCCACTTGCTATTCAAACACTTGGAGAAAAAATGAGCTTAGTGTTTGGAGAAAGAGGATGAAAAAATATGAAAGCAAAATTGAGCACAGAAAGAGGAAAACAGAGACTAGTTTACTACTGAAAATTATTTAATTCAGCTTTCAGAATAATGCTGTGGGGGAAAAATCATGGGAAAAACTGGTGCAAAAAGACCTGTGCTGTGGAACAGAAAGAAGCAGTTGAATGCTACATGCAGCTCTCATTATCTGTGGGAGCTTTAGCAGAGATTTATATAATTTATTGTGCTGTACACCACCAGGCACAAGTGAAAAGAAAGATCCAACAAAAGACGTTGGGCAGTGGTTAATGGGCAGGAAGAGAGTCCGTCAGGACTGCACGGTGGCTCAGCTCAGCATCAGCTCTGTCTGTGCACTGAAATGCAAATGTGCATCGTTGTTGTTGGCTACGGTGGCAGGGCTGAAATTGGAGGAAGCAGATGCTGTAATCTGATGATGATGTTGTTCTTGCTGAGTCTGAAGAATCACTTCAAGAGCTAGTAATGAGAGTCTCTGAAGCTAGTGTTGATTACAGACTACATCAGAATGTGAAAAGATAAAGGTGATGACACTTCTGAAATGGCGTATTGCAGCCACAATATAAAGAAAGAGGTTGAGCAGTGAAGGAAATTCAGTTTCTAACAGATAGTGGGTAAAAATGGAAAGTCCCTGCTCTTGGAGGAAGACATCTCGTTCTATATTCATGCATATGAACATTTGACTCTTAAGAATCCCCAAAGGGGGTGATGAACACTAGACCAGGTGAATCTTTGCACCTATTTGCTTTGCTCTAAGAAGGGAGAATATGAATGCAATAAAATAAAGCCAGTGGATTAGGAAATGTGTGAGGACTTGTAACCTCAGGCTCCCTCCAAAGGCCATCAAAATGGACTTTGGGGTGGGAATACTTTAAAATACTTTTCAAATATTTATTACTTTAAAATACAAAATGCTTTTAAAATAATGTCTTCACAAGGGAGAGAAAAGAAGCAACACAAGAAGAAAGCAAAGGGAAGATCAGCTGGTGGTTTGAAATGGCTACACATTAGCTGATTTAACTGAGATGAGGTCTCAGATGGAAGCTGAAGCTGTTTACAAAAATATTATTAAGCAGGTTTTACAACCAGAAAAGCCCCCATCTCAGAAACACACTTATTTGTCAAAGATATCCAGCTATAATAAAAATATACTCCCAAGGGTATCCACAGCTTCCCTGAGCAACCTGTTGCAGTGCTTCAGCATGTTCACAGTAAATATCTTCCTAGTATCTATCTAACTCCATTCTCTTTCAGTTTGAAGCCATTCCCTCTGGTCCTGTCACTCCAGGCCCTTGTAAGGAATGTCTCTCCATCTCTTGCAGGCTCACTTTTCAGGTACTGGAAGGCCACAGTGGGGTCACCTTGAAGCCTTCTTTTTCCAGGCTGAACAATCCCAAATTATTTTACCCTTTCCTTGTAGAAGTGCTCCATATCTCTGAGTGTCTTGGTGGCCATACTTTGGATTCTCTCCAGCAGGTCTGTGTCCTTCCTGTGCTGGGGACCCCAGAGCTGGATGCAGCACTGCAGGTGGGGTCTCACCAGAGAGGAGCAGAGGGACAGAGCCCCTCCCTTTCCCTGCTGCCCACACTGCTGCTGATGCAGCCCAGGATATGGTTATTAGCAGTCCTGCAGTCCAACCTAAGAGTGCTCCACCCCCGACCTTTTTTATTTTGTCACTTGGATTATCATTCTCAGCTAGGGCTGTACGTGGGTGCTGTTTCCAACAAGAGTCAGTTCTCAGCTTCCTTAGCTGTGAAATATTAAGTCTCTGCACTGTAGTATTTTATCATATTGCATATTGGCCAATAGCCACATAATTTCCAGTTCATAAACGCACTATCATCCATCAGACATGAGTGCTGAGGGTGTGAAACAGCTTTTGCAAAATTAAAGGTATTTCTAAGTCCTTGCACTACAAGTAACTCCTGTTTGTATGTGACCACTCATGAAACAAAGGCTTGTCCATGGTTATCTACCCCAAGACAATTGAAAATGGTCACAAAGGGTCTAATTTGTATTTTTTAATCAACTAAAACTGTGAAAGCTCTAGAGCATGCATTTTAGAAGAGCTGATGTCCTGGTTTGTGCCCCTTTAAATGTCACTGCTGTGTCACACTACGTCTGACACATTATGTCATGTGTGGTGTGATTTCAGAGAGCAGGCAGCCTCTGAGCCAAGTATGCAGCAGATGTTGAAGAGACCAAGTGGCCATAAGAAACGGGTAATTTTAGATCTCTCCAAATAGTTCAGCAGCCAGGCTTCTTCTGTTTGTGCATCTCCAGTCCAAATCTCTGACAGCAACTTTGATTTCCCAAAGAGTATCATCAAACACATTTGATTGTTTCTTGATCCTCAGGGTTTATCCTCTTGGGCTTATATGAGAAGGAGGGGTGAGGGACTGGTAGGGAGGGTAATAACAGCACAAGTACTTCTTTGCTATTTGTCAGGCAAATGCAGTCACAATTGCCAACCTGCTTCTGCTGTTCCAGTGAAGCTAATTTAGTTAACTCTGCCAACTTCCCACTCCCCATCCTTTCCAATACAAGTAATTTCGATATTGCCTTTACTCATACCTTGCTGCAGCTCAGTCA